CTCCTCGCCCCCCACCAGCCTCCCAGGAACACTTACCCACTGATGACAGTCCAGCCAGGACAGTGCCAGAGGCCATCCCGCCAGCTTTGGCCAGGATCGCTGTCTTAGCGAGGGAAGAGGCTATGATGCCTTCCATGGCTGCACCCAGGGGAGTCACACCTGCAGGAAGAGTGCAGCTCTCATGGGGGATGGACAGATTGAAATGGGGTTTCCCCCACCACCTCTAAAGGGGCTGGGGGGGGGCGGGGACACAGAGGCTTCTCTGAGCTGGGCGTCAGCAGGCCTGGAGAGGGTTCAGGTGTGGGGGTTGGGGTTATGCAAGGACCTGTAAGTAGAGGACAGGGTGGAGGGGGTGGATTTTATTTCCTCAGGTGGGCTGCTTCCTTCCTCCTGAAAACGCCAGCATCACCTCCTTAATTTTCCTAGAATTCCCTTAAATCTCCATGCAGCAACTTAAAAGGCACCAGAATTAGAAAATCAGAACCAACAGCACTTTAAAGGGTATTCTGGGTTCCCGCTCTGAGGCAATCTCTTCACTAATCCAGAGGTAAAGGTGTTAAAGGTGAGGTTGCTATCTGCCCCTTACAAATGAGAAAACACTGTCTGGCACAGAGAGGCTGAGTGATTCACCCAAGGTCACAAGGCTTTGCTCGTCAAAGTGCCACCGACCCAGGTCCAGCTGCTCCCAAAGCCCAGGCTTGGGATGGCTCTGATCTGGTTCCTCCTAAACCTAACTGGTCTCTTCCCCCTGCCTATCTCACCCCCACCCAGGAATGGGCAAGGCTTATTGTCCCCAGAGTCCCAGAGCCCAGGGGCAGATGCAGGCTTGAGTCCCTCTCCACCCCACCCCCAGACCCACTTTCTCTGCCAGCAGCCACCCTGATGAGAAACAAAAGAACGTCCTTGGAATGGACCCACATGGGTCTGGGTCTCCACGACACCCCCTGAGCCCACTGCCCACCCCAGGTTGGGAGCCATGGGGAGCAGCAGCCCCTGCCACCCCTCCGTGTCTTACCTAGAGAAGAATGTTCTGAAAAGCTCCAGGGTGAGGTCTGGCTCTGGATATTTGGAGCAGCTCCGCCCCGCTCAGGAAATGCTCCAAGCAGGGAGCAAATGGGCTAAGTTTCCTTTTACAGGAAACCGAAACTACAGCCATAGTGCCCGCCTTTCCCAGCCAAGGGGAAAACCTAGTTGCTGTACATGTGGAATCTGGTCACGTCAGCCACCGCTGTCAGTTAATGGGATATGTTCATCACTTAATTAGGGGATGAGGTGTGCTCTCTGAGTAAAAAAGATCATAAGAAATAGGATCAAAGTCATATAATAAAAGGGTAAATATTAACTTCTAATGGAGACAAGAGGTGGTTTTCAGAATAGCATTAATCTCTGCAATGGACAGACGTTCAGTTATTCCAAAAACCTATACTGAAGGCCCACCATGTGGACACAGATCTAGGCGCTGAGTTAGAGCAGGGGCGGAACCAGACCGCAATGTGTGTCCTCCTGGAGTTTACAAGCTGCAAGGGGAGAGAAGATAAATCACTAAACATACAGTGTGTGATTTGAAGAAGTATTGAAGCAAAACGAGGTAGAGGAGGAAAGTTGTTCCAGGTAGAAGGAACAGAGATGGCAAAGAGTCCAGGTATGGGAGGAAGGGGGAAGGAGGCAGAAAGCGATGTCAGAGGTTAAGAGGGAGCCAGGCTGTGTGAGGCCTCGCAAGCCACTGCAAGGACTTGATCTTGTGCTCTGAGTGAGATGGGAAGCTATGCAGGGCCTGGTGCAGACACATGACGAGATCAGGTTCACTATGGCTGCTGCATTGAGAATAGGCTGAAAAGAAATGTCTGTAATTTAAATTTAAATGTTCAGCATGGGTACTGTGATACAAACCTGTTATTTTCATGAGTTTCAGCTACACTGGGATGGAGATCTGTAGCCCTGTTCAGGAATCCACACACCTCCCATCAGCTACTTACAACACCAGAGAATATGCTAATTCACACAGTGAATGTGTGTGTGTGACATCATCAGCCTCCATGTCCCAACAACGTTTTGGGTGGGGGAGTCCATCCTGATTCTTCAGGGGGCTCACAACAGGTGCCGAGACTTAAATCACTTCTGGGTGGAAGGACATCTGGCCAGCACATAGGTGTGGCTTTTATCCAGCAAGTCTACAAAGTTTCAAGAGCAAATTCAACTTCTAGACTCTACCACCATCTCCTCCCAGCTGACTCTCAAATGATCACTTCTTATTTCATCAACAAATTAGATGCAATCAGAAAAGAATTCTCTTTCCAATGTCAACTCTCCCAACCCAGCATCTGTATCCATAAACTCTGCCTTCCATCCACTGCTTTGGGTAAACTATCCCAACTCCTATGATTTCATCCCCTCTTCCTACTCAAAGACTTTGACCTTGCAACTATCCACTCTCTGTCCTGAATTCCTGGAAACAAAGAACTGAGCTTGGCTGTGTTCCTGGAGGGTCTCCCTTGTATGTTTAAAGCAGCTCCACCCAGAAGGAAGCAAAGCCCAACCCACACAGGCAGCAAATGAGATAGATTTTATTTTTCCAAGAAACTGAAACCACAAACATTTTTCTCCTCTTTTCCCCAGTCAAGGGAAAACTCTAATTATCATAGAGAGCACCTATCTAATCCCTTTCTGACCCCAAGCTCTCACCAAGTGCCATGTGATTTCTCTGCTGCCATCAGGGCAAACTGTTGAAAGAGACAGGTACATGTGCTCTCCTCTTTCTCATCTTACAGGTGCTCTTAAAATATGCATTGTTTATAATAGGACATATTTTCAGGCATACAAAAAGCTATATTAATACTACAACAAACACTTATCTGCCTACCGCTCAGCTCAAGAACTCAAATGATACAGATACAATTAACACAACCCGAGAATCCTTTCTCACCCCCTTCCCTGTCTCCCTCCCCACAGGTAACCACTCGCAGAATTTATGGCTGATTATTCCCTGCATGGTTTTATGCTTTTACTATAGGTGAATATAAATGCTGAACTTCCCTGGCAATTGTTGGATGTTCATTTGTGTTTCAGCTGAGGTTCAAAGACAGGGAGCAGTATAATAGTGGGCCTAACCTTTGCTCAGAGGGTAGCTAAGAAACTGAAAACTATTTTAAAAGAAATAGAGGAATTAATTAGAGCTGAAATTGGAGAGGAAGGAAAGAGAGAGGGAGAGAGAATTGGTGGGCTCTGCTTTCCCAAACCCCATGGGGGAGGGAGAGGAGGGGTCTACCCACCTGGATCTCAGCCGGACCCCCTAGGAAGGCTTGACATAAATCCCTTGGAATTTGGGAAGCAAGGCAGTTGTCCGAGTTGGGCCTATAAAGTGGAAAGGCAGGGAACTGTCTTGCAGGCCTCCCTGGGGCAGGAGAGCGAGGGGGCCGCTCTGGGAGTCAGCTGCCCTCTTAGAGCTTGTGGACCAGTTTTAGCACCAGGCCGGCACAGCTGGAGTTAACTTGGCCACGATCACCACCCAGGGGATCCAGAGCAGAGGCTAGGACAGAATTGGAGGCATCCAGCCAGGGAAGGCTCCCCCTTGTCAAGGACCCTGCCAGTGAGTGACCCCTGCTGACAGGAGGATGCCATAGCCTGCAAAGCAAGCTGGCAGTTTGAATCTTTGCCACCAGAGGGCGCCAAAGATAGGTTACAACAGCATCAGAGATGTCTCTGGTCCAGGTACTTGCCCTAGGGTTGCATACGTTATTTTCACCCTCATAACCGCCAAAGAGGTGTACTATTATCTCCTTTTTCCAGATGCACTAATAAGTCATGCAGAGGGTCCTCTGGACACTTTCTCTTTCCCTGACACTCCCCACGCTACCCCTGCATCCATTGCCTCTTATGGGGTCACCACACCTAGGCAGGTGTCCCTCTTGGCTGGCTCTTGTAGAGACAGCTTAAGCCCCATTGTCGTTCCAAGCTTCCATGCAACCCTCAGAAATGCAGCTTCCTCAGGCCCCCCATCTCCAACAGTCCCTCCTCTACCCATTCACTGTTGGACCCACAGCCCTAGACCGACTCCACCAGGCAGGCAGCAGACACAGGTCTCAAAGATCTCACACCCCTACCCCCTGGGGCGCCAAGAGAGGAACCAAGGATAGCCAAAGTACCTGTCAGGCCCCCTGTGAAAACTCCAGGAGGACAGAGATCTCTGTCTTATTAACCCATATGTCACAGACCTCAGAGCAGGGGTGGACACTCAACAAATACTTGTTGAATGAATTCCTTTTACAGCATCTTCCCAGTGATTCCCAAGCCCTCCCTTACAAAGGCTGGATACAGGTGATGGTAGTCATGGGACTGGCACACACAGCAAACCCTGGAGGGCTACAACCGTTAGCTCTCTCTGGAAGTGGGGTCCTTGTCCCCCACTGTTCTCAGCTTTGAAGTTTAAGTTAAGTTCCAAAATATGTAACTTTTTAAAACATGTAACTACACAAGTATTAGTAAAATAGGGAAAGGCTAAATAAAATGTGGTGTATTATTGCCATGGACTATTAAGCAGTAATTAAAATGACAAAGATTTATAGAATAGAAAAAGGCCAGCTGCAGAACAATATGTATGAGGTATATCAACAAAGTTATATCGATAAAAAGGCATAAAACAGCACTACATAAAATGTTTTCTATACAGATATCTAATATCTCTATCTCTTGTCTATATCTATCATTCTATCTACCTACCTACCTATCATCTAGCAATACAAATCACTTTACAAGGGCATGGAGGCTGGCCGGTGTGGCTCAGCAGTTGAGCATAGACCTAGGGATCCAGGAGGTCGGGGTTTGATTCCCAGTCAGGGCACATGCCCGGGTTGTGGGCTTGATCCCCAGTGGGGGGCGTGCAGGAGGCAGCCGATCAATGACTCTCATCATTTCTTAGGCAATTTTAAAAAATGAGCTTTAGGTAATTTACATGCAATAAGATGTTGGCTTTTGTTAGAAAATTATACTACCTCATTTTATAAAAGCAAAAAATAAAAAGACAAAAACCTACCAATGGCCTGCCTTCAGACCCGCCAGGCTCCTTCGGAGTTGCTGAAGCCGAAAGGGAGATTTAAGGAGACAGGGTTAATAAAATTATATAGGTTTCAGGTGTACAATTCTATAAGACATCATCTGTATATTGTATTGTGTGTTCACTACCCCAAGTCAAGTCTCCTTCAAGAATTTGCAATAAATTCCTGACTGTTTAGTCAGGGGCCTGGAACTCTTTTCCCTTAGACTGTCAAATAAAACACTGACACAGCCAACTCAATAGACGTCTCATGTAATGAATCAAGATTATACCCTTTATTTTTTGGTGTGTGCCCAATTTTAGTCATTAGTTTATGAGCCATGAGATGAAAAAGGTTGAAAGTCGCTGCTCTAGAACCATGATGCAGCCAGACCCTGAGTCCTGGGTGGGGTCGATCACACCTGAGGATAAAGGGCTTGGTAGCTGAGGGTCAATGGCTCAAACAGTGACCCCAGAGCCAAGCTGTCCTATCATGCTGGCCCTGGCTGAGACCTTCGAAGACACTTTGTCCAAGTCCCCATCTGAAGAGCAGCACACCGAGGCTCAAAGGGGAGGCATGACCTTCTCAGGGTCACAAGTGAGCGGTGGGACTGGGAGCAGACCTGGCTTCCAGTCTCGGAGGACATGGGTGCTCGTTCCTAGAGTTCCCGCTAGCTCTCCAGGCCCTGCCCAAGAGAAGGCAGCTCGGACACCGGGGAAGGTCACAGCATCTTGCCTTTATTTCCCATCCTTCCCTGAACCACCCTGGGAAGCAGGGGGCTTGTGGTTTGGGGGACTGTCATCCTGAGGGTCACCTCCAACATCGGGACCTCTCTTCCCTTCAGTATCAGGTCCAGCTTGGGTAGAGGTCTTCTTTTTAGCAGACCCCCACCAGGCCCCCAAAGATGACCCAGTCAAGCCCAGGAGGATGTTGGATGATGTGGAGAGTCCAGCTGCCCCTGGGGAAGGAGAGAGGGTGAGACCACAAGGGCACAGGCAGCTCCAGCAGCTCCTGGCAAGGGTGTAGGGTCAGAGACCCCAGGGACCCTCAGGAGGCCAGAGGCCCCAGCATCCCACTCCTGCTCCCTCCTCTACTTCCTAGAACCCCAGGATATCTGCTCTGGGAAGCGGCTGCCCAGAGAGGAGATATGAACTCTGGTGGTGAGTCCACCAGTGACAGATGGGGCACATCCTCTGAGAAATGGCAGGCACCTCACCTTCCTCAGGACGAGGCTGGGGCCCAGAGAGGGGAGGGGACCTGCCCAGGTTTTGTAGGGTTGACTGGGAATGCAGACCTACTGGGCTGCACCCCTGGACCCACCCACCCCCAACCAAAAGAGGGGACAGCAGGAGAGAAACAAAGGACCAGGGACACTGAGGACCACAGAACTGGAAGGAGAGGACGGGCCCTCCCCCAGTCTGAGCCTCCTGGCCTGGCCCTGGTCCTCCATCCCCTCCTCCTGCTCAGGACACTTACCCACAGACTGCAGAGTAGCCACCAGGCTGCTAGAGGCAACCCCTCCCCCATTGGCGATGGCGGCCGCTGACATCATCTTGGCCGCTATGGAGGAGGCAGCGATTCCTGCGCTGGTGAAGCCCATGGCGCCCAGCAAGACGGGCACAGAGCCCACGGCCACCACTGCGGGGAAGAAGAGTGAGGTTGGCCCCATGGGACAGACCTCCCCAGAGCTCCCTGTCATTTTCCTGGGGGATGAACTGTGCTCTTGTGAGAGTCCCAGGGTAGGGACAGGGACCCAACACAAAGGAGGGTGGTAGATATGAACACAAGCGAGTGGGCAGGCTCCCAGGAGAACTGGGTCCCAGGCCTGTTTGGGCCTCCGTTTTGCTGTGACACCTGGGAGGCACATAGCCCTCCTGGGCCCGAGGTGCCCTTGTGGAAAATAAATTAAATTGAAACAGGCAGTCATCTTCAAGCTTCCCCCTGTGGCAGGCAAAACTGTCCCGCCCACAAGCACAAGTACAGGGTCTCAAGTACAGTGTGGGCAGAAGATAACATCAGAGCTGCTCTTCTGAAGAGGTGATGGGGTGAGGGCCTCTGCCCTCTGCCCCTCAGGCTGTGCAGCAGTGTGGGTGGAGGGCGCCTGGGAGAAGCTGAGCTTGGACTTGGGTGCGGTTAATGGCTTCGCTTTGGTTCCTGCGCTCTAAGGTTCACTTGTACTCCACGTCTGGCCCCTGCCCACTGCACTCCACCCCTACCCACCCGCATCTTGGGTATCCAGGGAATCCTGGGCTTGGTCAAGGTGGGCTGCTCCCAGAGGCCCAGGGCCAGGGGCCTATGGGGGCTTGAGCTCCTTCCAAGGGAGACTCACCTCCTCCGGCCACAGCTGCAGCAACAGTGACTGGAAACAAAAAGAACAAACAAAAAGAACAAACAAAAAGAATGTGTGTGAGTGCACTGCACTGGCTTCCCCTGCGCTTCCCCCTGCCGCCCACAGTGGGGAGGGTGCTCTGGAGCCGGCAGGGGAGAGGGGAGCCCCTGCCTGCTCTTGCACAGGGGTCTGACTTACTGAGCACGCAGAGGACGGAGGAGGCCAGAGCTCGGAGCAGCTCCACGTGGGGAGAGGTACTGGCTACCAGCTTGAAAGGGCTCCATCTACTCTTTGAAGCCAATACATTTGGTATCATTTTCTCAGGAAGGGAGGGAGGGAGGGAAAGAGGGAAAG